CCACTCCTCTGGGCATGCTGGTGACTGTCATGGTTTCAGGATGGGCCCTCACAGCAGAACCTGTTCTTAAAAGGGCTACAGAGATCTAAGCAGCAATAGACATCAACACCACCTTAAAAAATAAACCAACCCCACCCCAGTGGAAAAACATGCCAGCAACAGGAAATTGCAACTGCAGAAGGAAGAAATCCCAGAGCCTCTAAAAATTGTAAGGGAACAGCAAGAAAATATCTCCATACACACAACTAATTAATGAGTAAACAACCTATAAGAAACTAAGCAGTGAAAGTATTTTTAGAATTTAGTTTAAAAACTAAATTTAAATTTAGTTTAAAAACTTCATTTCTATCCCCATAACATTTTGATACTGGAATGAAGAGAGGGCTTGAATTTTCCTTCCTTTCTACCTTTTACAAACGCGTATAGAAGTGGGCAAATGAGAGAGCTTTTTCTTCTAGTTTTTAATTTTGTTGGGTTTTGTGGGTTTGGGGTTTTCCTCAAAGAATTCTTACAAAGTGGAAACATTAGCTCTGAACCACTTGAAAGAGAACCCCAAGCCTTCCAGTATAAACTTCTGTTATTGATACAAAATAATATGCTGCCTACAGTCTTATTTAAAAGAGCATCCTCCTCTCAAACCTAGCAATTTGTTAGTTTCAAATAAACTTTAGGCTCAGTAACTATTCCAGTACAAAGAACCTCTCTTAGATGCTCTCCCACATTTGTTGAGATTATGCATCATGTTCACTAGAATTCAAGTTTTGTCAAAGATGGCTAGTGTCTGTACTTTGCACAAGACAAGAGAGGAAAAGAATATCTACTCATTTATCTGCCAACTGGGACTTCTCAGCTTGTGAATAATAAGATTTGCAGGATAAGCCTACAGGGCTGCACAGAACAATTGCTTCTGTTTTTGAAGAGTTCTTACAACTCAGAATAAAATTGCTAGAGGGTTATTAGGCAATTATCTCTGCATGCATCTAAACTCCACTGACACTAACCACCCAGGGAGCAGATATTGGTTCTTTCTGAGGTCCAGCCCTGCAATCCATCCCCATCACCATTTTCAGTTAAACATTTTAGATTAAAGATTCTCCAAGATACAGCTCAGCTTTACAAGTTTCTATCCCTCGTGTCCTGTTTCTAATAACTGTGGTACAGCTTTCTACAGGTCTCAGCTTGTAGAAGTAATAGATGTGAGAAGCTGAATCACAATTAATCGCATGGGTTTACAAGCACAAAAAGACCAGAAACAGCCCATTCACAGGGTGGTATTTGCAAGCGTTTTCAAAGACTTCAGACAAGACCTCATACGTAAAGCTGAGGACTTCTCCAGAAGATTCTGAACTTCATCACCTGGAAGCATATGAATCTTTTAGGAACAAACTGGTAACGAACACAGAAAGAAAACATAAAAACACAAAAGAAAAAAACAAAACAAAAAACAAAACCCCAAAACAAAATAAAACAAAAAAGCAGAGCCCACACCATGTGATAACCCGAGGATCACAGCTACTTGTGTGGATGCCCTGAGCGCACAGAGCGATTTAAACAGCCTCTCACTTCCCCGGCTGCCCTGGACTCAGCACGGGAACAGCAGACGCTCCATGTGCCGGTGCCGCGCTCGCTGTGCCAGCGCAGGCGGCTCGCGGCGCGTCCCGCTGCTCCGGGCGGCCGGAGCGCATCGAGCCCGGGGAGCCGGGACCACCGGCCGCCCTTTGTTCCGGGGACCCCCGCAGGGCCCGGTGCGGCTCCTCCCGGTGCGGAATGCGACAAGCCTCTCCCTGCCGACACCGCTCAAGGCTGCGGGCATCGCCGGCGCCGGGGCTCGGTGCGTTCCGTGAGTCACTAGAGGCAGGAGCCGTCTGCCCCCGCCCGGAGCGAGCGGCTGAGTCACGCTGCCCCGAGAGGGGAGGGGGGCGATGCGGGCAGCCCCGCAGCCCCCGCCGCCAGCCGCGCCCCGCCCGCCGCGCTGTGCTCACCGAGCCCGGCCAGCCGCTCCACCAGCCCCGCGGCGCGGAGGGTAGCGGGGCCATGGTCCACTCCCCGCCGTTTCTACGAGACAAAGAGAGGGGGAACGCGTCAGACAGCGCTGTCCGCAGCCAGGTACGCAAGCCCCGCCGAGGAGGGGGAGCCGGGGGAACCGGGCGACCGCGGCACCCGGCGTCCCCCGCGATGCCCACCTGGCCCCTGGAGAGCGGGGCTCCCACCAGCGCCACGGAGTGCGCCCGGCGGCGCGGCGGGAGAGGGGCGCGGGGCTGGGCGCGGAGCAGGCGGGCGAGCGGCCCTCGCAGGGACATGGCGTGGCGATGCTGCCGCGCCGCCCGCGCCCCGCTCTCTTCAGCGCTGCGCCCCCCCCCCCCCC